TATATCAAGAGTGAGTGAGTGAGTATGGTTTTACGCCGCTTTTAGCAATATTCCAGCAATACCACGGCGGGGGGACACTAGAAATGGGCTTCACACATTGTACCAATGTCGGGAATCGAACCCGGGCCTTCGGCGTGACGAACGAACGCTTTAACCACTAGGCTACCCGACCGCCCCTATTTATATCAAGAATAATTTACGGAACAGTATTTCTTATTTGATTCCCATGCCGTTGAGGCACGATGGCTAACAATCAAACAAGTCGCTGAACCTGACCAAGTTACCTCTAAGATATACTATAGGGGTATGACCTACATATATATATTTTTATGTCATGTCTGTTTATAAATGCTTTAGTTAAAATCATAAATAGCAATTCGCCATAAGCATATATCATCTTAAAGCACGTGTTTGAGACAGTCATTAATATTAACGTTGTGTTAAATATTAAACATCAACACCAGAAGTCTCGACCATCTGGCTAAAGAGGTTGGTTGGTTGGTTGGTTTGTTGTCTAACGCTGCACTCAGCAATATTCCAGCTATATGACGGCGGTCTGTAAATAATCGTTTCTGGGCAGACAATCCAGTGATTGACATCATGAGCATCGATCCACGCAATTCAGATACGATGACATGAATCAGCCAATGCAGCGAGCCTGACCACTCGATCCCGTTAGTCGCCTCTTACGACAAGCATAGTCGCCTTTTACAGCAAGAATGGGTTGCTGAAGACCTATTCTACATCGGATCTTCACTGATCGGCTTAATAGGAAAAATAGCAATGAAAGTTATATGAATGTTCGACATATTACTTTTGATCTTGTAACTAATGGTGTTTTTGTGCTTTTTAACCGTATACGACGTTAACTGTTGCCTCTGCCAAAACTTCTCGTGTTTTCTTTACGATTTAAACGATAATGACTTATATGGACTGATATTTGGCTTCATAAGTTTCTTAAAGTGTGTTGAAAAACATATTCAAGCTATTAATTTTAATTTTTTTAAGTTCAGCAGCTCGAAAGAGTGGGAGCGCGAGTATGGTTTTACACCCCTTTAAGCAGTATCAGCTAATATCACAGGGCACACCAGAAATTGGCTCCGCCAGTGTACCCTTGTCTGGATACGAACACGGGCCTTTGACTTGAAGAGCAAATGTTGTATCCACTAGGCTACCCAACCTTTCCCAGTTCGGAAGGTTTTGTTGCAGATTTAATCAGCTTCAACTCAAAACCACAAACCGACCTTCAGGGTGTATACAACGGACCAGCCAATCTTTAACGTCAAAATGACGAAGCCATCAAAATTAATATCAACTTACTTAATTCAAATATGTAAATAAATTATTAATATACCATTGCTAAATTTAAACCCCTTCTGACAAGTATCACAAAAACAACATTCATTTGGCATTTCCACGGTTGATGCTTAATAAATACAAACGTAAAAAGTACATTTTTGAAAATATATGCAAACAGCCACAACGAAACAATTAACGGCTCAAAGGAAAGTAAATAAGAAAAGAATTTATTCCAGCAGTAAACAGTCTTTATTCAAACAATAAATAATATTTATGTACATCATTATCCACCGGAGTAATCATTACATTGCTATTTAGATAGGTATAGTATAATATAACAACAGTAACAGTCAACACCTCAAGCAATAGAGTGTTCTGCGATGTTTATTTGTAGAGGCATACATATTACTTATGAGACTGTCGCCAGATATACCTCCCTGAATAAGCGCCTTAAAATCTCCCCTGCAACTTTACCGCGTTATAGCTCCCTAACAACCTCTTTGAAATCATTTGTAACTTGCAAGCAGCTTCCCTTGACACCCTTAAAAATAAAAGCGACAAAAGCCTTTTCATATTCATAACAAATCTCCGAAAAAGCAGCGACCATTGTAAGATTCCACCCATATCATGAGCATATGTTTATGAATCACTATCACATAGCAATGGTGTTCGCGAAAGGTGAGCGTGTCCTGCCCCACCGGTGGCACCCGTCATAAACACATGCAAAGGCAAGTCAATTGTTCACCTGAAAAAATACACGGGAACATGTGGGTCAAATTAAAATCGGGAATGTCTTTACTAAAGGCCTTCATGTGATCAAAATTTGTGAAATGTACACAGAAAGACTGGAGGTGTTGGATTATTACCCGACATAACTTCTCTAACATCCCTCATAACCTCCCAAGCAACCTCTTTAAAACCCTTTGTAACTTAACAGCAATTTCCATGAACTCCTTTATAACTTCTGTAACAACCTCCATTATAACTTTAGAAACAACCTCACTGTAACCTTCTTTTCAATCTCCCCAGCATCCGCCGTGAATATCCTTGTAACTTAACAGCAACTTCCATCAACTCCTTTATAACTTCTGTAACAACTTTAAAAACAACCTCACTTCTGTAAAGCCTACCTTTCAATCTCCCCAGCAACCGCCGTGAAATTCTTTGTAACTTGCCAGCAACTTCCTTTAACCCCTTTATTATTTCTATAACAACATCCCTTATAACCTCCCTTTTAACTTCCCTAGCAGCCGCCTTGAAAGCCTTTGTAACTTGCACACAACTTCCCTTTACCCCAGTATAACTTGATTTGATTTGAAATGATCATTTATGCACGGTAGGTACATGTCTGTGCTCATCGCCATTTACTATTTAAAGAAGGAAGTGGTTCTCACAATAGGTTCGTGTTGCATGGCGTCTCACAAGGTATTTACTCGAGGAATTACCAAGTGTGACATCTCTTGCTGCCCCTTCCTTGATGTGCACTCGGTTAGGTGAGTTGAAATGGGGTTTAACGTCGCGTCCAAGATTATTGCACTTATATAGCGACGTGCATGCACGTGTATGTGTGTGTGTGGCTGCTTGTACTAGTCCGGACTGATGCCGATTTATAGTGCTAGCACACTGAGATACCATGCCGCAGTTTAACATGAATACCCCTCTCAGACACAGTATACTGACTCCGAGCCAACCAGTCATTGTTTAAGCCCCTTAATGCCGAGCGCCAGACAGGGTAACAACAAGTACCATCTTTTAACGTCTTTTGGTATCACGCGGCTGGGGATCGAACCCCGGACCTTCCACTCTCCGGGCGGATGCTCTACCATTAGACCACGGAGGCGGTCGATGTGCACTCGGAACATCACCCGCCTCAGTCACAACATGTACAACACAAATTACAATTGCTAAATATTTCTGGCTTCACAGTATGATAAACCTCACAACATTCAGACGCTACTTTGGGTTTCACAGATGGCACGTGAATATGAGTATATCATTGAAAAAGCATCTCAGACGTCCTTTCTACCTTATAGCTCCCCTAATATTCTACGACGCACATAAGGACCTTTCCTTGATGCGGAAACTTTAAAAACAAACTGATACAGAAACTACAATAATTGTCCCTTAGCTGTACGTGTCAAACATTCACGAGTCGCCGGCTTCAAAGTTTCATAAATACCGCTGCTTTGCGGTTCTATGTATTCGCGGTACAGTCTTGTGTACTCACTGCTTCCTCCTGTAAGTTCGAATTCATCGTACAGTTCCAGATATTCATCATTGCCAGCAGCAGCACCTGATGGTGTCTCACACATCGATAAGTATTCCTGGTGCGCACTGATGCGTGTCCTGATACAAAAGGTGTATGGTTCGCTGTACCCGAATTCACATTCGTGAGACCCGATGTTTCTCTTCTTCGAACTCTTTCGCCTTCTGCGTACACGTACTGATGTCTGGGGCACCGACTCTGTGTGTGAGAAAAGTAAAACATGTTATAAGCATGTCAATACCGTGAAATATTCCTTCTTAAGAAAGGTTTACATAAAACGCAATAGTTCGGTTCATGTACATTCATTTTACTCAGATTACTACGTTTTAACTAAAATCCCTACCATTTGCGCTCCGGGACGCACAGAGGGATATCCATGCTACTAAAAATACTAAAATCATACATCATGACTATGTATATGAATCCGTCCTAATATAGTTTGTGCAAATAAAAACCCCATCCAACCTCAACTTTAATTACGGGAAAGGAGAAGCGTGCTTCCCAGACAATATTAATATTCTTAAAGCGGGGAACCGGAAATCTTCTGAACTTTTACACTCAGTATGAATATATTTGGAAAAAAATGCTGGTATCCTAACATAGCTGTACTGTTTCCCCATCCCTACACCCTTCTGAAATATAGTGAAACATTTTGCCTCCAACAAAAATCAGATTGTCAGTCTGCCGTAATAGATATTGTTGTACATGTATGTGGTGTCAATCGATTCATTTACTCCTTGATAGACATACACCACTAACCTAATCGATGTGTGGTCCTTCGGCGACGTTTCAAATCTTTGTTTCTCTTCATCAGTTGAACTTTCTCATGGACAGCTTTGTGTATTGCAAACCCATCTTTTGTCTTTATAGAAAACATGCCTTCTCCAGAACAGGTGAACCGACCAACTGCATAATTGAAAGCCTTGTCCGTATACCCGTAACATCTTATATTGGTGAACGGCCATTCAAATATGACCTGGTTCGACCTCACACTACACAGACACAAACTGGAGTCTTTGATGACAAGTTGGTAATCTCCTTTCAGGTGACATCTCTTGGCTGCCCCGTCCTTCCCGGTGATGTGGACTTGGAACAGTTCGTGTTGCATGGTGTCTCACAGGGTATTGGCACGAGGGACAATATCACAATCCAGAACCTCGGAATAGTCGTGTGCTTTGCGGTGGGATGAAATGTCTCAAAATTCAGACCAATGCTCGATTTCAGGAACTGAATAAAACCGTTCTGTCACAACATGGAACTGGTATCAAGATGGTGTTCTGGATAACTAAACGACGAAAAGACTCAAGGACTCAAATTACATGATACAAAATAAAGCTCTTCTGTCTTCAGAATGGTAATGCGATGCTTCTCCAGATTCACAAAGTGAGGAGATTAAGTGCCATAGACTACGTGGGACTCGGCTTCGCGGGGTGCACACTGTATACAACTGTTTAACTGCAACGTGGGGTATTTATACTTCCCTATTCCGATGAATCACACACTTTCATGTTTCACCATATACGCTGAGTTCAGCTTTATGCATTCAAACTCATGAGACAATGCAGTGACTCCTGTTAGGCCACTCTCATATATTTTATGGTTAACAGAGATTTTTTGTAGCGATCGAAATAGACGTTTTATAATATATAATTATAAAATAATAAATATACGTTTTTGTAGCACACTGTAATATATTTTGTTTGATGTGTAAAAATAGTTTGGTCTTTTCAGAAGGAAAAAATGAGATAAATTACAAACCAAATAAACAAATATTTGTATGTATTTCTGTCAAAAGGAGGTGTTTCTTTCCTAATGTTTCATTGTGGGCCAGAATTATATCATCGTATTTGATCAGTATTTATCTTAAAGGGCAAGTTCACACGGAAATGAACCTATTTTTCTTGTACTTTTTCCACATTAAAAGTGTTAACATAGAAGTGTCATAGATAAAAATATAAAAATATCACAATTAATTAACATATTTTTCGCATTAAAACGATTTATATTTTTCACATTTACCAAGTGTTCTATTTCCACAACAAAAACACCATGGCTTATGCCCCTTGCAATATGACGTCATTGGTGCCAATTGATAAACATTATGACGTCATCATGCTTTGTTAGAGCCGCTTCACGTGGTGTAGGTCCAGGTGTGTGATTCTAGCGTCTCAGATGCCAGCCAGCATAGTGTTATGCTGAGTCACCACTGCGCCGGAGTGTGTCGTAGGCCATGTTGTTTTACCGCAAACTGGTACTTGATATCTTTTGCGTTGAGAATAGACAGGGACCCAGTTGAATTGGCACCAATTACGTCATAATCTAAGGGGGATAACTCAGGCCTGTTTAGCTGGAAAAACGAAGGCCTCATAACGGCATATCATTTTCACACTATTGTGAGCTTCCTACGTTCACTGTGAAAAAAATGAGTGTATATTTTCAAACACAGATACTAATTAATTCTAAAATTGCGTTTTGTTTAGAAAAAGAAAGAAAGTGATTTTTGCGTGTACACTTCCCCTTTAAAGTCAAAGTCAAAAGTTCTATATTATCAGATTTTTGTACTTGTAAGCATCTTCATATTTTTCTCTCCCATCGAAAAGAGGTCGGTTGGACAAACAGTTAGATTTAATTTCTTTTTGATCGATTTCGTAAACAGAAAATCTAACTGTTTCGCCTAGGCCAATGCCCGTAGTCGTTAATGACTATATTCTATATCACAATGATGCATGTCATTATGAATAATCATATCCGTGATGATACAGGAAACAGTATTAAAGGACACAAAGTCTATAACGTGACTGCTTTTGATAATTTGTGTGTCTGAATACATCAAATATTATTAGGTCATAACTTTATTTCGGTTTCACGCCGGGATGGTCTATATTCAGTAACTGCGGTGGATCCATAGTGGTTCATCTAGTAACAACGTAATGTATGATTCATTAACATAATTTTCGCATTCCGCTATATTCATCACAAGCTGACAACTAATACAGACATTTTACGATTTGTCAATTCGAATTTTGATATTTTCCTTGAAAAGTAATGAGTCATATCAGTATCAAACAAGGCAACATCGATGAGTCCAGCCCACCATTTCCAGAGTTGTAAATCAGTGTATCACCAGTTTGTCATCTGACAGGATTGTGAAACAGTTTGTCCGCATCTCCCTGCAACTCGGGGACATTAGGCGTCACCAAACTAACTTTTATCACATTCCGAACTTTCGCGGAGTTGTCGGGGTGATCGATGGAACCCACGTACAAATCCAGGCACCAACTGTAAACGAAAATGAATACGTAAACCGACATCACTATCACAGCATAAATACGCAGATCGCTTTTGACAGCGACGACAGAGTCATTGACGTTGTTGCTCGGTGGCCGGGATCGACACACGATTCACGTATGTTGACAAACAGCGGGCTCTACCAGCTTTTCGAGCGCAATGTTCTCCCCATCGGATGTCACCTTCTCGGTGACAGTGGTTATCCCTGCAAGAAGTGGCTGCTTACCCATTTCCTAAGACCATTGCCGGGACCACAAACAAACTACAATCAGATTACAATCGTAATCAACAACTTAGAGTGATGTCCCTTGTATTTGCCTCGATTACATATTTACCCCTCTTTCTTTCATAGAGCACAAACGCAATATTTGGTCTGGATAATCGAAGCAAATACAAAAACATTCTTAATAAAATACGGAATATTATTCACACCATAACCATATGTTTTTATTTCAACATCTATTATTATGTCTTTGTTAGTTAGTTGTTCTAAATGTACAAGTAATCATGTGCTGTTTTGGTAAACATGCTGAATATTTGTGGTAATTAGGAATATTTTTTTTTAAACTTTACCAGTATGAATTTCCTACATAATCCAAAATGTAAATTATTGTTTTCACATGATGAAAATTATTTCTTCAACAAGTGACATTTATCAATAAAAAGATAAATATATTTTTCTTAAACCCTGTTGAAGATTAATGTTACAGGTTACATTCTGATATGTTATGTTATTTTCAGGTCACACAAAAGAACCAGGAGCATAGTAGAAAGGGCCATCGGTCAACTCAAACGCAGATTTCCTGTTCTCCATTGGGAAATCAGGTTAAAACCTGAGAAGGCTTGTAGTAAAAATTACGATCAACAAATGTTAATTTGTGTGCACTATTTATTTGCCACACAAATAAGTTCAACAGAACAAAAATGGAACAAAGCTAAATGACAATAAATATATAAAATAACAATTCCTAGAGAGGAAAGCAATGATTGAAAAAAGCAACAAGATTTTATTGAGTTACATAATTATTTCAAAGAATGGTTGTTTGAATTTATGTTAACAAATGCCATTGAGAATATGAAAAGAACAATGCAGTGGCTCATCATCTATTAAAGTTTGTACATGGACATGAACTTGTTCAGATTGACTTGTATCTAAATCAAGTGAATATATAGTGAATATATATACAGTTTTGTATTTAAGGCAATAACAGGGCAGTTGTAGATTGGTAATGACTAGGAGCAGATAAGAGAAAATTCATAAATATTTGAAGTATAGACTTGTTAATGTGCATGTGGAGATGATCAGGAAATGATGGGGTTGTATGAACTTATTCGTTATTTACAGTAATATTTGTATGTTCAACTGAGGCCAGGTAAAAGCCTAAATGTTAAGTGATATGATGTTAATTTATCATTAATGATTTCATATTTTAGGTGATAATAGCATGTGCTGTCCTACACAACATATGCAAGGACAGACATATCCCAGTTCCACCCACTGATGGGCATGATGGACTTGGCAGGCTTGATGGACAGAATGGAGCTCAAGCAGTGACTGCTCCACCAGTAGCTGCACTCAGATACCGGGAGCACTTTGCCAACACCAACTTTCAATGTAAGATTATTTTATTTTAATTTTCAACATTTCCTCATAATAAATCCAGTTTGTATCAGCAGTACATTCTTTGCAAAGTATCTTTAGTTTTTAATCATCTTAATTATCCCTCACCCTCTTAAATATGCAATATTCTAAATGCAATGTAGTGAATGTACTATTTCTCAAAAATGTTCCACAATGGTCTTTCTACCAGAATCTGTTGTATCATAACATTGGGCTTAGTATGTTTTGTGACATTTAATATTCAAATATATAAATAATTCTTTAATGCCCAAACAACATGTATGATCCTTTTAGCTAATTCAGTTTCGTGATTTTCAATTTAAGGTATTCCTTTTTCAAAGTGAGGCATTCAATTTCAAGCTTTAATTTTTGCTTCAACAGAGTTTCCACGGTTGGTGAAGTGAGGGACTCTGTGACATCTGGCTCCTTGGAATACATGTTGGCTCCTTCTGGTTGAGGATGTGGATCTGACATGGCGGTGTCATAGATCTCCCTGCAACAGAATATATTAAAGTTTTAATTGTAATTTTCACATAAATGTGCTTTACAATTTCAACAAGCTTGTTGTTTTGTGTTATTATAATGAGAACATTTACATTTATAATCATATCACAATTGTTTAAATAACAATTGACTTAATTTGTGCACAATTGAGGTGTTGATATTATAAAAAAAATATACATTTATACTAAGTTTTCAAATAATAAGTAGGTCCACAGCAAGTGGTTTTAAAGTTATTCATGGTTTAACATTTATACAAAATTTCATGTGATTATAGAACAGCAAGTTAAACATATTAGGATCCAGGGAAAATGCAAATACCAAATATTAGTAGTTTCAGTTATAGCTTTTAAGATAGATGCTAGCCTAGCTAAGGTAACATGAACCTATCTCCCAGACATACTATTCAACAAGACAAAAGTTATGTATACATAGTTTTATAGATACAAAGCTTTTAGATAAAAACTAGCCTAAGGTAACAAGATCCCATCTCCCAGACATAATATCTAATAAGACAAAAGATAGTGTTATAGATTGCCTTGAACTATTTTATTTAAGCAAATCTGTCATCACCTATACTAGAATAACATTCAGAAAATACTTCAATTTAGACTCATTAAGGATATGCAATATACAAGCTCGTCTATAGTGATACCATAATCTCTTTCCAAGCACCCAGTATTTATGTCAGAACAGAACCATGATAATTTTCTAACCCGAAAGGTATCTCATATCATTGATGTACCTGTCAGTAGGTGGCATCAGGTCCAGCACCTGCAGCATTGTCGTGTCAATTGAACCTGGCACACCAGTTAGGGTCACGTTGTCCTGGCCTAAGATATCAATGACTGCATTGGTCACTGGGCTGATTGGTGCTGGTGCTGGTCCACCTCCAGTATAAACATTTAATTACAAACTGTAATTTTTTATATCGTTTAAAATTTTATTATATATGTTCGTTAATGGAAGGGATAAGACAATGAAATTTCTAATCATCATCATCATCTAAATGTATTTTGGAAACAATATTCTTCATACAAAAATACACAGAACATTATGATTGATAATCGATCTATTGGTAATACCGTATTTATAATGACCATTGATAGAAGAGTTGTCACGCAATAACCCTGACTTGTATACAGTATGTATGAAGGGAAGAAAAGTACTTGCCAGTTCCTTTTGTCAGTTTCCCAAATTCGGAGTACTTGTGTTTTGCCTGGCTTTTCACGTTCTTCCAATTTTTTTTCCACCTCTTCCTTTGTTCTCTTGTGTGAACCAGAGGAATTGAGGGTAGCTGTTATAACCTGTAGAGTTAAGGGAAAGTAGTAAGAGTCTTACAATTGTGGAAATATGAAGATAATAAGGGGCCAAACATTTTGTGAGGGTGCTGAGATTATATTAAAAAAGTAGTCTGATCCCAAATATATATATAAAATATTTTCTCAAGTTAATTTATTCAGCCGACAATTAAGATGTTAATATTTTGGATATCACTTCAAGATTCCATATTTAGCCCCAAGTCTGCTGCAAGGGCACTGTCAGTAAAAAAACTCAAATTGGAAATAACAAATGTCCCAGTTTATGATAGTAATAGAATATGTTCATGGCTATAGCAGAGGAGACTTAAATTCCACTGATAACAGGACCAATCACCAATAGTGATGATTTCATGCTCAGTGGTAGAATGTTGCATTAAATCTACATGCGGTGGTAAATACTAGTGAAAATATTGTTACTGAAAATCAGCAAGTTGGCTACATGGACAGGTGATTTATTATAGGGGTGTGAGGTATTTGTTATACTAATATTTAAATAATGTTAGATTTAATCGATTTAAAAAAAAAAAATTTCCTCCAGCAGGCTCCCTCTCCACCCCTACCCCACAATAAATTGCAAGTCCCTTAATCATGCATTTATAATCGCTTGATTGGCGTACTAATATATCTCGAATAAGTTGAATAAGTAGATGTACACTGCTAAAATATAACTTTATAAAACTCATGTCTGGTGTAAATACTACATTTGTGTACAACGACTGCCTGAGTGACTGACAACGACAAGTGTCACTGTACCTGCCACGCCTCTTGACGCCTCGCATATGTCACGCCCGGACCAAACTTTCCTTCCAACACATGTACATTTGCTTTCACTAGTTCCGTCACCAGTAAAACCTCCTCTTTCGTCCAGTTAGGCTTCCTCTTCATATCTGCCTCTGACATGACGTTGGCAATGTGGACAAAGTTTCGCTGTGTGTGTCGTCTGACGTAAATAGCAACCGGGAAATCCCACCGAAAAAGACGTTCACACCTTTTTTTTTTAAAGAGTTCCACCAGAAGTTTAAAATAGCAGGGATTCCCCCTAGTGATCACGCGGGTAGGTACTACGAAACTGACTGGTTTTTCTTTGGAGACTTAGCTAAGTTTCGGACTTAGCATCTTTATGAATGTCAACTTAAGTCTCAGACTTAGCTAAGTCAGATTTCTAAAACTTAAGTTTAGACTTAAGAAAAATCTTAGTTTCTTTATGAATACCGCCCCAGTCCTTGTTTTAACCCCTTAATGCCGAGCACCAGCTTTTCATGTCTTTCGGTTTGATGCAGACAGGATCGAACCAACGACATTCGGCTCTCGGGGCAGACACTCTATCCACTACACCACGGAGGCTGTCGACTCGGAGCCTGGTCTGTCCCTGCATCCTGATGGTGTGGTGTGATGACTGAGTTGGGTTTACTGAAATTTTGAACAATATATCACTTAAATCACAATGTGACAGGAAAACCAAGAGACGCTGGTCGAAGACTTTATAACTTCCGGGAAACACACGAGAGCCAGTCCAAACTTGGATGTCAGCAAAACCATTCTGACAACAAAAAAAACCTCAAAGCAAATTGATGCATTTCCCACTTTTATTCATGATACAAACATTTACTGTCAAATTTGACAACCAATTACATAGTTGAGTTTATGTACAATCAATAAATACATCTATGGCTTCACATACCATGCTTATGGGAGGCACAAGTGGCCTAGTCGTCTATGGCGCTGGAATTTCGCCGTGCAGAGTTGCGTTCCTTAGGCACCCAGAATCCTCTGATCGTGGGTTCAAATCCCGGTCTGCCCCAAAGAATTATGTTTCTAGGTTTGTCAGCACCATATCCTGCTCGTGGGTTTCACCAAAGTGGTAAATGTCTGAGATCTGCATCACTTTGGGCTTTCCGCAGGTCTCAGAAGTTTACACTTTGGTGAAACCCATGAGAGCAGGCATGGTTCTGACAAACCAAGAAACATAATCAAAGCAAAACAGGATTCAAACCCACAATCATAGGTTTCTGACCAAGGGATGCAACTCTTCACAGTAAACTGCACATTAGACAACTGGCCTACTGGTGACCCCTTGTTCAAGAGTGAAAGACGGAGAGGTCACTAACATGTTCTTTTGTCGGTTCCAAAATGGATCCTAGAATTCTAAAACCTAGATGTATAAATGTGGATCAGGCTACACCATGTCTGGGTTCATGGAAACATGTCCTGAAGCAGATCCACAAGCACTGGTACAGAGCATGAGTCAGTTCCTACGTAGAGAAAGTTGCTAAAGGATGTTACAGTATTTCAGTTTTATCACGGCTGTCAGCCTACTTGCAGTCCAAACTTTTACGCCCTGGTCAATGTCAGCCTAATCTGGCCAACTGTGATATGAACCAATGATCAACAGATCCTGGAAACATGAGTGGTAGGCAGACCGAGTTGTGGGAGAAAGCTGCAGCTAATAATGAACTACAATGTGTGTTAATACAATAAATGACCTCAGGTATGAGAGAAGCGAATAATGGAAGCATCAATATGTCGTCTGGGTAAGATGACACTCCAGGACAGCCAGGACATAGATGAACTGATGGTCATTTAACAGTAATACCACCTTTACAGAAACATTCCTCCCAACTACTTCCCATAATTGCTTGACGTGTGTTCAAATCTCAGTCAGCAATATTTCAGCAATGGCTGGAATTGAAACAATAAAGTCTTGGCCACCCAACATGCCCAAACCAGTGGTGACGACATGAGCAACGATCCATTACACGAGGCCTGTTCCATTCATTAGAGGCATGAATACTGACAATCAGCCAGGTCAAACATCGTAGCCATCCATCCTCGGACCAGGATCCATTATAAAAGCGGTCTTAGCGCCACAATTGGTATAAGTCCATGTTAAAGTATGAAAGTTACGGTCATCTTTGCGTTACGGTTGGGGTAAGTCCATGTTAAAGTATGGAAGTTATGGTCATCTTAGCGCTATGATTGGGGTAAGTCCGTGTTAAAGTATGGAAGTTACAGTCATCTTAGCGCTATGATTGGCGTAAGTATGTGTTAAAGTATGGAAGTTACGGTCATCTTAGCGCTATGATTGGCGTAAGTCCATGTTAAAGTATGAAAGTTACGGTCATCTTAGCGTTACGGTTGGGGTAAGTCCATGTTAAAGTATGGAAGTTATGGTCATCTTAGCGCTATGATTAGGGTAAGTCCGTGTTAAAGTATGGAAGTTACGGTCATCTTAGCGCTATGATTGGCGTAAGTATGTGTTAAAGTATGGAAGTTACGGTCATCTTAGCGCTATGATTGGCGTAAGTCCATGTTAAAGTATGAAAGTTACGGTCATCTTAGCGTAACGATTGGCCTAAGTCCATGTTAAAGTATGGAAGTTATGGTCCTCTTAGCGTTACAATTGGGGTAAGTCTGTGTTAAAGTATGGAAGTTAAGGTCTTCTGAGAGCTAAGATTACTTTATGGAACAGGGACCTGAGGCATTTTAAGGATTTAGAAAAGGGGGAGATGTCAAAGTAACAAAGTGAACAAAACTTTGTCTGACCAAACGGACCATGCACTAGTGTCCAGTTCCTCATACAACAGGCAACCATTAAATGCTGGAGGCCTTTTTAACCATGGAACTGAAGGTTCCGCTTACCAATATGACAAATGATAATAACACTATGAACTATACTGATCCAAAACATACATAACAAACAGCGATGGTAACAACTGAATACATTTCAAAGTGAATTCAACAATTCCCAGATAATTCAGCATGGTACAGACTGAATACATTTAAAAGTGAATTCAACATTTCACAGAAAATTCAGCATGGTACAGATTGGAAAAATATTTTAAAATGAATTCAACATTTCACAGATAGTTCAACATGGCAATCAATTAATGCTTTGTGATTGACCAATCTTTTCACAGGAATTCATCCAAGAACTTGACATACCACATGAACATACACAACAAGAACAGATAAAACATGACACAAATTCTACCACATATTGCACAATTTATCTGGCATGGATTCCAGGATATGGAAGTAGTTGGTCAGATCTGGCCCCAGCTGAAGACTTGCACACATTTAAAAACAACTTAGTAGAGGATGTTAATTATGCAGTGTGTGTTGTTCCTGATATCAGTGTTCATTCCAGATAGCGTAATATGACTAGAACCTATTATGCCAGTTCAAATGGTTATTTGGCACTGCAATAAATGTACATATTACTTAAGTACTTTAGACACTTACATCATAATATTTAATGAAATATAAATTTCAGTGTGAGTAATTAACACGAATGAGGAAAGGACAATGCTCAAGAAGTTGTTAGAACTTAGATATATACCCTGTTATTCAATCTCACAGAGAACTAATCGGACAGTGACAAGAATGACTCAGTTTGATTTTCTTCCCTTATTCCTATGCAGTTACTGGTATTTCCTTCCCTTATCCCATGCAGTTTTTGGTATTTCCTTCCCTTCTCCCATGCAGGTATTGGTATTTCCTTCCCTTATCCCATGCAGTTATTGGTATTTCCTTCCCTTATCCCATGCAGTTTTTGGTATTTCCTTCCCTTATCCCATGCAGTTATTGGTATTTCCTTCCCTTATCCCATGCAGTTATTGGTATTTCCTTCCCTTATCCCATGCAGTTATTGGTATTTCCTTCCCTTATCACATGCAGTTATTGGTTTTTCCTTCCCTTATCCCATGCAGTTATTGGTATTTCCTTCCCTTATCCCATGCAGCTATTGGTTTTTCCTTCCCTTATCCATGCAGTTATTGGTATTTCCTTCCCTTATCCCATGCAGTTATTGGTTTTTCCTTCCCTTATCCCATGCAGTTATTGGTATTTCCTTCCCTTATCCCATGCAGTTATTGGTTTTTCCTTCCCTTATCCCATGCAGTTATTGGTATTTCCTTCCCTTATAACATGCAGTTATTGGTTTTTCCTTCCCTTATCCATGCAGTTATTGGTATTTCCTTCCCTTATCCCATGAAGTTATTGGTATTTCCTTCCCTTATCCAATGCAGTTATTGGTATTACCTTCCCTTATCGCATGCAGTTATTGGTCTCCTTCCCTTATCCCATGCAGTTATTGGTATTTCCTTCCTTTATCCCATGAAGTTATTGGTATTTCCTTCCCTTATCACATGCAGTTATTGGTATTTCCTTCCCTTATCACATGCAGTTATTGGTATTTCCTTCCCTTATCCAATGCAGTTATTGGTATTACCTTCCCTTATCACATGCAGTTATTGGTTTTTCCTTCCCTTATCCCATGCAGTTATTGGTATTTCCTTCCTTTATCCCATGAAGTTATTGGTATTTCCTTCCCTTATCACATGCAGTTATTGGTATTTCCTTCCCTTATCCCATGCAGTTATTGGTATTTCCTTCCTATATCCCATGCAGTTATTGGTATTTCCTTCCCTTATCCCATGCAGTTATTGGTATTTCCTTCCCTTATCCCATGCAGTTATTGGTATTTCCCCACACTGTAAGTACTTTTCATATCCAAGTTCAGAAACTCACTTGACCACATGATCAGAAGACAAAGAAGATGAAGTTCATAGTGTTCTGAGTCAGTAAAGTCATCTAGCGTCGGGTTCACGTAGCTGCTGAAGCTATCGTGTTAATTCCTAACACTGTTAATGTTGACATAAACTCGACGTGTTTGATTATCAATTAATGAAATAAAAACAAGTCTTTTGATCGTAACGCTAAAAAACATTTGCTTTGACCATGTTGATCACAAATCTTGTGTCACTTAAATTTTCAGCAGAAATTTAATTTTAAAATTAATAATAGTTCAGATTTGTGTGATCTGATTCAAAGACTGAATTTAATTGATTCTAACTAAGCATAACCTCCCATCATACTAATCCAAATATAGACTTAAGGAACTAGTAATTTATTATTATTGGGGGGTGGGGACGAGGTCTTGGGGGCAGTGAGATCGGTCTTAGGGTTAAATATCTTGCCGATCGACCCAACGTGTCCCCCATTTTATGTAACATTTTTTCAAGGCCCCCAAATACATATTACAATTTTTTATGACCCCTACTCCCCCAACCCTCCTTATAATAAATTTATCTGTTCCTAAATAATGCTCAAATATAATTTGGAAAAATGAAAATACCTGCAATAGATCTCCGATGACTTCATAATACATTCCGCTGTCATTTGACTATTGTTGCATTCTTGGAAACATACAGCAAGGCTGGCTTTAAGTCCTTACATGACACAGATATGTGATAACATTTGTTCCATAAGGCCAGGCCATGATGACAGTGAAAATATCTTCAGAATGATCATCTTCCCGAGGCAAGGGAGTTAACAGACTATTGCCTCGGTTCAGGTTCAGGTTCAGTTTCAACCCTTGCCGAACTAGACAAGAATTATTTAGTTATATTTTGACTGGACTAACGAATCTGTGCCTAGTCCAATGAAAATTTCAGGACAAAATCGACATTGGGTTCATAAACAATATGGCAATTGCCCTGCAAATTTTGCTTGATTGCAAGATTTTCAGTGTATGTGTAGTCACAACTAGGCATCGACAGATGTTTTCAAAATGTTTTCATGTTTTTTATCACGGTGCTCAAGTGATTTGATGTACTTTGTGAGGTAAGGCCAATTTTATTAAACCAAATATCCTGAATATCGATCAGATCGTCTGGACTGGGCTGCCAGTTTGTTCAAAAAAACAAGTGAAAGGAGAGGTTGAATCTGATTGGTCAATAGGAGGGACATAGAAGGGACAAAACTCATAACTACCACTGGTAGCGTTACGATCCAGCCATGAATTCCAGCTTAGATCTTTTGTAGTCAGTTTACTCACTTGCCTCGGGAAGATGCATAATCATGATAATGATTAACTCTGTATAGCTGTTCAATCAAAAATCATGAGGATGAAGTACTTCTAAGAAGTCACATTCTAGTTTCAAATGATCAATAAATTGTGACATTAAAAGGCCACAGAAAAGTTCAGGAAGAAATTCTCTCACATTCCCAAAGATAACAGCACATTAAACAAACACCTACATGTTCATTTTGATCATGTAGATAAATAATGTTTCGGTTTTCATTCAGATAGAATAGGTGTTCAAAGGGAGGTAAGTGAAGAGTAGACCAGGCAACATTGAGGAGTTGTCCAAGTTTCATTCAAATTCTGGAATGTCTTCGTACGAGTATCCAGCATAGCCCTTGTATGCATAGTACGCAAGTCGGACGTGGTATGCACCAGGTATGAACATTAACGCCCCCAGGATCAGCACCGGCCATGTTCGATCAGAATACTGTAAAATGAATGTAACATTTATTTAACTGTTGCAGTATTTAAACCATTCACACTACTATTGGTACAGTATTAAAACCATTCACAGTACTATTTTTACAGTATTTGAACCATTCACACTACTATTGTTACTAAAAATGTCTGCCTGCCTGTCTATTGGATATATTACAGTGAGTATTATTACCTGTCCAAATCCTGTATTGTTGTAATTTGTGCCCCGTTTAACATCGCACCCAGTATTTCAGCTTTTTAACGGCAGATTGTAATTAATTGAATATTGCTGAGTGCTGTGAAATCCTCCTCGGTGTTCCTGTAAAAGTTGTAAGAGCAGACAACTGTTGTTGTTTGTTGTTTAACGCAGCACTCAGCAATATTCCAGCTATATGATGGCGGTCTGCAAATAATCGAGTCTGGACCAGACAATCCAGTGATTGACATCATGAGCATCGATCCGCGCAATCAGGATATGATGACATGCATCAACCAAGTCAGAGAGCCTGATCACCTGGACCTGTTAGTTGGGTTCCTGAAGACCCCAGGCCTGCACGGGTCCACAGTGGGTAAATATCATGCCCCAATCAATAAATAATTGTGAGAATTCTGCTAGGCCGCTGTTTCAGCAGAACACTGTATGCAGTTTTAACATGAATACCCTTGTCCAGCCAACCAGTCATTGTTACATACCCTTAATCCCAAAAGCCAGACAGGGTAACACTAAGTACCATCTTTCAACACTCCACTCCCTTGGAAGCGCTCTATCCACGACACCACAAAAGCAGCACATACGTACGTAACATGCAGTTACAATAGTCTGGCTAACCGAGGATGAGCGCCACCTGGTGACTGACGAACCTACCTGCGGACTGATGTAGCCACTGAGAAGAAGAGCACCAACAACAATGAGAACACTCCCTGCTACAAACAAGCCTGTTGCCAGCAAGATAGCTTTGTAGGGAATCTTCGGAGGAGGGCGCTCGAACTGGAATGAGATCACACACACACACATGTACAAACATCAAAAGTGATGTGGGGGTCGTCTAAGGTGCCACCATTCGCTGTACAGAGTTGCCAGAAACCTATGATTGTGGGTTCCAATCCCGGTTCACCCCGATTATGTTTCTAGGTTTGTCAGCACCACACCCGTGATCATGGGTGTCACGGAAGAGCTGCATCACTTCGGGCTTTTCTCCCACATTAAGTTGACACGCCGTGATATAACTGGAATACTGTTAAAAGTGGCGTTAAACCCAACTCATGCACTTACTCATACAAAATACTCATTCAAAAGTGATAAACACCATGAGCAGTAATCAGGGTAATTCATCACGTTTATCATCATAAATAGCATAATACTACATGTTCTAACCTACTCCGCACTCGTCATTTATTCATGTTTTCAAACCAATGATAACACTTATAAAAATTATACTTTCTGTCTTGCATGTCAGTGTCAGAAATAAATAGCATAATAATACACTGGTAAACTGAGAGTGCTGACTTTGGAAGTGTTTTAATTTCAAAATCTAAATATTTCCTTACTGGTATATTAAATAATCGCATTAAGATCATTTGCTCCAATACTATGGGTCTCTGCTTGAAAGTCTGAGGACGCCTTAATCAGGTGAACCCTTAGCAAACTTTGACCTACCCATCTAAATGAAGGATCCATGGATTCTTGAGCCAATCAGATTTCAGATTTCTATGATTCCGCTACATTTCTTTACCACGGTGATTCACAGCAAGCAAAAGTAAACCGACTAAGAACACAAATATAACTTGACAGTACACTCTTTCCCTGTAGATGCTGTATCAATCCCTAAAACAGGATGCATAAATATCCACAACAATATAATAGTGCTGCTTTATTAGTTTGCATTCAGAACTGCCTGATTTAATTATATACTTCAGTACATAACACTTGATATTTCCCTGCTGGGAACATAAACACTTGGAAGGAACTATTGTCATCTGGTCATACAAAAGTTACCTCCTCGCAAATTGTCCCCCTTTATGGTAAATGTCTAGCCCCTACTCAAACTGTTGACTTCCTTTTTACATTAGATCCACACTGACAAGGCAAAAAAATGACATATGGTCATTTATGGAGTTAATGTCACTTCTTGCCATTTATTATTCTCTTGAAAATGTTTCGTCATAAACATGTGTGTCAGTGTTATCAAGATTATGTCCCCTACCTGAAGGTCAATATATCCATCACCTCCTGTCCTCGTCAGCTTATGGTACTTGGCAGAGGAGGGCTGACCCACCACTGATCTTTTTGGCATCATGAATAAGTACAATCTACTTGAACTAGCAGCACACTACCCTGTGCCTCCTAACTGGCTTCTGGTCATATCCTGAATGCCTGCAAACAACAAAGTCAAACATGGTGCTAATGCATTTCTATTCATACTATTAATGAAACAATGTCACAGACTTTGACCATGTTTACTTTGTGAGTGAGAGGTTGTATGCTGCTTTTGGCAATATTCCTCAATATAAGAACCTCTTAACACTGAGTGGCTCACGCTTCACTGATCTCATGTCTACAATCCATAGGGTTAGTTGTGTTGGGACAAGGGAAAATTGAACCCGTTGTGGATAAAACACAATCCAAAGTTCAAAAGGGCATAAAAACATCACAATAGACTAATTATGATAGGATTAGAGGCAAAAAGTATGGAAATGTACTTTGATTTTCGTCTTCTTTTAATCCTATCATTTTCAGTCGCTGGGTGATAAAATTAAACATCAAAATGTTTGGAAATTGTTATCATAATAGAACAAATGGACAGATTGTTCAGTCAGTTTGTAAAATAACTGAATATACAGGTGTTTAACAAATTGCCTCGGTGAAAATGTTAGTCATTTTACACACTGACTGTAACATATACACATGATGATATAAAATAAGCAATGCTCAGCTGAAATCTTTAGTTTGTGAAGGGAGATTATGCAAAGATGTTGCGCAGAAATTGTGCATGAGATCCAACGAAAATCACTGAGTGCCCACTCCCTCTGTAGACGCCTTGGTTTGTGTTACACATCCCAAAATAGTGTAAGCGAAAATCGCACAATACCAGGTAAGTGACTGCCCCAAAAGATACTCACATTTCCTTATTAATTCTATATCAAGTACTAGGCAAGAGTTCCTTGCCTCCAGCCTAGTACTTCTGGCACATTGTCATATATCTTACACAGCCAATTCATGTGTTTTCATCTATTTCAGGTTTGACAATTTAGACAACCATAATTTTCATTGAGAAAATATCATGAAAAAAACTATTTCTTTTTGCGTTTTTATCTTGTAAGAGCTGTTTTTGAAACCCTAGGGAGAAAGCGATCCATTTCATACGCAAAGTTCATGCATCTCACTGTCATAGATGTAGTAGTACGTCCAATAGTTACAATTATGCAAAACAATATATAAAGTGCACCGAAAGTCTTGCATTATAGGCCTGTCTGGGTTTTTTTCTTCAGAATAAGCGCTATTGTTTACAAACAAGAGAAAGGTCTGATACGTGGTAAGCCTACGTGGTCATTGGAGCAGAACATTCTATAGAGGAATATGGCGAGCAGAGCTGAGGAAGCTCGGGATTATCGGTTATTGTTTCAAAACAAAACTTCAGAATGGTCGAAAGTCCTGTAGCTTCATGACTGCACGTGCACCCCTGGATCATTATAAATATCGTAAGATCATAGGTTTTCGGACATCATATGTTTTTGGACAGCAATGTTTGTTATGATAACTCACGCTAATAGCACGTGGTGTGGCGTCACACAGACTTTGTAAATACTCAGATTACCGTATTCGACGTAATAAGCGCCCCACTCTAATTAGCACCCACGGCGATATTTGCTAATAGTATTGCCTAGTGAACAATCCCAATTAGCACTCCTTCCGATTGATCAATGTACACAAGACTTATTTATTCGCTTATAATACGCACCCGTGCACCATTCTTAATTATGGGCAATTAAATTCTGGAAGAATGTATCTGTCGCATATAAACATTTCAGTGTGTAAGCATAAACCACAAAATTTATCTTTCAACTCTTCTTTTTTCCACCAAATTAATATTCCAATAAGAGCCCCCTATTTCTAATTTTGAGAGCGCCCTGGGCGCTTATTACGTCGAATACGGTATCTCTTGTTTTCAAGATAAAATCGTCTTTATTAAGAGAGTGAGATGTTTTACAGTTGTTATTGTGATTATCGAGAAAACTACGAATGTTTCTTTAAGCGTCCGAAAACCCAGCACACGAGATTGATAAAAATTAAAATGCAAACGTGATAGCCTAATTTTTTTTGCTGCGCTGAACATTGTGAAGTTACTTTGACAGATGTAGGCTTTTCAGCACCGAGAAACACTTAGGGTTCTTCAGTGTACATGTGTCATAATCGATATCCCTGTAACACAGAACGATCTCACTCTCATGTCCATGCGCTGATTGACAGAAGACACTCAGTGCTCTCGTGATTATAACAGTTTGGAGGAAAAACAGCCAAGCACTCGCATTGTTGAAAGGTTAGCATCAATCTATATACCACGATCCGTGCGACACCGGTCACTAGATGGGCATCAGATGTTACGATATAGGCCTAGAAGCCAAACAGAAAATACCTGGCACTGAGTGGTGGATCTGTTATTTGTTTGCGGAACTGTGTGGCGATTGAAACGGAAGTTTGCAGAATCAATCAGAGTTGCCTTTTCTTCATACTGCTACTGACTATCAACTATTGAGATTTTATTTTCGGATTTTAAAAACTTCTAAAATCATTTTATATCTAACATACGTTAAATTGCATAAATAAAACTAGTATTTATCTAGAATAAAATTTGCAAACAATATCAAACAACTATTGACAATGCTCAGTTTAGTACGAGTAAATCACGTTAACAAAGATTTGTTGGTTTGAAAATACTATCCAACCAGGTACTCTTTGACAGCGCGTGCTACATCCCTCAATATATATAATTAGAAGTAACGACGTCGCTGTCTGGAGCTGGTCGCCTGAACATCGTCTGCAAGTCTCCAACTCCAAGGGTTTCACACAGGATAGGTACAGGGGGTGTTGCAAAAATGTCTGGAGACGAATTCGACTACTATGGAGGTATCGAAGGGTTTGTATCACTTTTTACAGTTGAACCCTTTTTAATCACGTTGTATTTCATAATTCATACCGATGCTTTCTATTTCTAACTATTTATCACTGAGCTGACATGAAAATCAATAAACACATTTTACTAAAAAATTTAGAGAGTGCTTCAAACTTTTGAGGATCCTTATTTACATGACTAAAGACAGAGTTATAGCTCCCTCACAAACACTAAATCTAGGTTAATAACAATGGGCGTATGCATGTCTGGATGTTTAGATAGTTCAGTGGATCTAGGTCAGTTATCAAAGAAAGTCCCTCTCAGCCTGTTCAGAGAGACAAGTGGGGAGTTGTTTGTTTAATGAATGTGTTTCTGTAAACTCCTAACGGTGGTGACCGTTTGCACGCAGACACATCCACATAATCAATGACGAAACACCAGAAACTGTCTAGCTTTATGATCACTACAGAGCTTGTAACCGACTGTTTCACCACAAACAGGAATATGCAGTGTTTGAGATTATAGGGTGTACTATTGCATTTTAACTACGAAGGGACCCTCGTTATCTTTAGTTTTAAACATTTCACTTTTGATGTTCATCAAAAAATGTTGACACTGAATAATTGCTTAGCTTCTGCGTTTGGAATGTCTTTGTAACCACATATGTTTAACAATATTCCAGCTATATGACTATTGTCTGTAATTAATTGAGCCTGGACCAGACAATCCATAAGTACAATAAGTGAACAATCCTGTGATTGACATAATGAGCATCGACCTACACAATTGGAATATGATGATATCCATCAACCAAGCCAGCAAACCTGACCACCCGAACTCGTTAGTCATTGTAATTACAGTTACATGTTCATGTATTTCTTGCATAGAGACTGCTCAGTTTTATATTCCAATATCAGTTGATTGACACTATCTGTGGTCTGTATGGAAACAATATGACAATAACTTATTAATGACACTGCAGTTAACTGCTGTTTTAAACAAAAGGGTATTATTTTCACAAGATTTTTGTCCTGGAAAAAGCACTTTGACAGTTCGTTCTACTCTTCAATCCAAAAAGGTTGTGTTTGATATTTTAAAATCTCTTTCAAAGTTGAAACCTCTCCCACGCGATGTATTTTTTTTATATTTGACTCTAAAGTAATTTCTATTCTCCTATGTACAGAGCTGAAATATGGGTTTGGTTGGTTGGTTTGTTGTTTAACGCCGCACTCAGCAATATTCCAGCTATATGACGGCGGTCTGTAAATAATCGAGTCTGGACCAGACAATCAAGTGATTAATATCATGAGCATCGATCCACGCAATTGGGATCGGTGAAATGCATCAACCAAGTCAGCGAGTCTGACCACCCGATCCCGTTATTTGCCTCTTACGACAAGCAGTCACCTTTTACGGCAAGCATGGGTTGCTGGAGACCTATTCTAGCCCGGAATCTTCACGGGTCTGAAATATGGGGATTAGATTGTAATAGAAACTCTGAGATATAAAAAGTGTAGATGTTAGTGGGTAAATATTTCCTTGGTGCAATATTATACAACACCCAACCACATTGTCCTTGGTGAATGTGGAAGGTATCCCATATATGCATGCTTATAAACAATGTATTAGATACTGGTATAAGTTGTTGTGTATGCCAACTAAGGCTGTTACAATTCACTCGCGTATTCGGTGAATCGAACCGATACCACTCATGAATTGAATTTTTTATTCATGGCCACTTGAATCGAATATTTATGAATATGCTATCATGTATATTTACATACCCTGTACCTAAAAATATCCATAACAACATATTATATGCATAGATTTCTTTCAGTGACAACACTCTAATAATATTTAATTTGATAGTATTGTTTTCACTGGTCATTGTTGAATTTGAGCAGATACTAGCACCTGGATAAGTGCAGTATATAAATGTATAATGTATTAATAATTAACAAACCATGTCAAATAAATTATGATGTTATTTTTGCACTGAATATAATAAAAAATACAGAAACTGCTGACTTGTAATTGTGAATTAATATTCGTATTCGTTACCCTATATTCGTTATATGAATCGTATTCGCCTCATACTGTATTCATTGCAGCCCTAATGCCAATCTCTCATTTTCCCAAAAATGTTATAATCTATTACTATTGGATGCTAGCCTTGGAAAAATTAACTGGGTTTCAAAGTTTAAATTTTTTATATATAAGTGGGATTTGGTTTTGTCTGGTAAGGTCAGTCTATTGGCAATATAAATTCTTTTGTTGCAGAGTTTATTGCTAGATCACAATATATATACTGAACCAAATTAAAAACTTCACAATCCTAAAATTTTAACATTTTGACCAGTTATCATTGTGGGCCCTTATTGTGTATTTAAACAGTAATGGCCACGTATTGTCTTCAGAAAACACCCGTTTTTGTGCAGGTGGATCGATCAAAATCATGTGCACAGCACTTTAGTGGCAAAAGTGTTTTTTCACGTGCAACTGGTCACGTGGCCATAATACCGCACGTCTTTTCAGCCATACTTGTTAGCAGTCATTAACAAAAAAAGAAAAACACAAGAAAACAAAAGTCTTTACGGCCATTTGTCATGCCACGCCTTTCAAATGTGCAACATGAACGTGCCATCGACATGTTGCAGACGGGAGCGTCCGTAGGTGAAGTCGCAAGGACGATGGGTTGTAGTCGACAGACTGTTTATGATTTACAGACACGTCTACAGCAAATGGGTACCACCGCTGATCACTCTCGTCCAGGTCGACCACGTGTGACATCACATGCAATGTCAGATTGTCTTACGTCACCTCCGTAACCGATTTTTGACGGCTACATCAACCAGAAATGAACTGTTTAGGGGTAGACTGAGTGCGCAAACTGTTCGAAACCGTCTGAGAACTGCTCACCTTCAAGCACGACGGCCATACTGCGGGCCGATTCTGACTCAATTACACAGACATCAACATCAATTGTGGGCACAGAGACACTTACGATGGACTCAGAGGAATTAGAATCAAGTTGTCTTCAGTGATGAATCCCGATTTAATCTTTGATTTGCTGATGGTAGGGCGAGGGTGTGGAGGTGCCATCATGAACGTTACTCCCAGTGTTGTGTACAGGAAATTGACAGATTTCGAGGCGGAAGTGTCATGGTTTGGGGTGCTTTCTGTGGCAATGCACGTTCCAGGCTTCTTGTCATCCGTGGCAACCTCAACGCTGCTGCTTACCGCGACCAGGTACTGGCACCAGAACTTCTGCCTTTTATGGCAGCACATGGACCCGGTTTGATCTTCCAACACAACAATGCCAGACCCCACACAGCAATTTTGACAAGGAATTTCCTTCAGAATGCGGGAGCCAACGTCATGGACTGGCCGTCAAGGTCTCCCGACCTCAATCCCATCGAACACGTCTGGGATGCTCTTGGCAGAAGTCTGCCCACTCTCCAGAACCAACCACAGAATTTGCAAGATCTTGGCACCATTTAGCAGCAACCATGGCGTCATCTTCCCAATCATGTGTTCCCAAGCATCACAAGGTCCATGCGGAGGCGTTGTGTGGCAGTTATCAACGCACATGGTGGCCATACATGCTACTGAACTTGTGTGCCATCAGATTCTCGTGCTTGGGACTTATGATTTAAACTGCTGATGTTATTACCGAATACCATAGGTGCTTGGAACAAATTATGGTTACCACCGTTAATTAAAATCCTTCTTTGGACATTAATGATTAAAAATTACCTTCTCTGATACATTTGTCCGTTGTATATCATATATGGGATAAAAATGTGGAGTTTTTAATTTGACTCAGTATATATAACAGGCTCTTAAATGCTCTCTTACTCCTTATTTAAATCCATTTTTGCGTTGAACTATATATTGGCTGTATCACTATAAACATCTTTCGTGTGGCTTTGGCAAGGTTAAAGTGTGGCTCACATCGTCTAAAAGTAGAAACTGGTAGATAACCAAACAATATGTGATATGTGTAGCTACGGATGTGTTGAAAGTGAATACCATTTTATGTTGATATGCAGTGCTTATCAACACCTGCGGCAATAGACCGATCCAGTCTGTCAATCAAAACTAGCGCATGCATGAGTTTGATCCAATCAGAAGGCTGGGCGCGATTTGCGGATTTGTCAGACTTACTTCCCGGGTCAAACGATGCCTGAGAAGCGACGTGCCTACGGTTTGTGCTATTTTCACACGCGATATCCATTACGTATCGCTGGGATTAGATGTATACCCTTACTCAAACCCTCATGGTCTGGAGAAAAATGTTTGGGGCTGATCAAGGTGTGCGGAAGGCCTCACCATCATTTAAATGTCGTCACCATCTTCCACAGTACCTACATCTGCTCGAAGGTGAGAATTAGCACAAATTTCCGCACTTTTGCACATATGCATATTCAAAACGAGTAAATGACAACACGTGCAAGTTAAGATTTTATGCATGTTATAAACAAGGAGAATGCTTGTAACTACAAAATCATTTTTGAATTATGTATTTTGGCAACATCGGGCATTGAGTTAGCAGGTCATATTGCTGAAATGAGACACTCGAGACGGCCGTGACACACTGTAAACAAATTTGACAGTGATCTGATTTCCGTTAGTGCATGTAGAAATCTACCATTTTTTTACATTAAAGTACAATCTGGTGAAATTGTTATCCCCTCTCTTAGATATTATGTATTGTGTTACAGATTTTTAGATATGATTTTAATTAAATCACAAAAATCACAATAAGCCTAAATGTATTAATATTGAAAATTACTCGAGTATAATATTGAAAATTACTCTAGGAGTGGTAATTCAATGGTTTTCGTTCCCGCAAAATTTTTCAATGTAATTAATTCCCATGAAATCATGCTTTGACTATTTCAGCATTTCTATGAAGAGACAGGACCCATGCAGTAATGAATTACCTGATCCTATTCTTGTGAAATGGAATCATCCCTTCATGGTTAGAAAGAACAGGAAAATTTCGTGAGAAGGAAGTGAATTACTGTAATATTTTGACTGTTAAAAAAAAAAAGAAATCTTAGTTAATATAAGAAAATTATTGGTTTAGAATTGTTTGCAACATAAGTTATTCACTGATAATGGAAGCTTACTGATGTACATATTAGTGAAATATTACAATTGTTTAAAACAATTTATAAGTCATTTTAATCAATTTCCTGGAAATGATAGCTAGATTTTTATGAACTCAAAGTAACATGGTCAAGTAATGATATAAATTGCAATCCATTAAATCAAGTAATTACTAATTATTCCAACCAATTATTTAATTGATGCCTTATCACAGCCAGATTAATATGATTTAATAGCAGGACTAACAAACACTAAGTGATTCATGGTACAACATCCACCTGGTATAAAACTTAGCTTGTTGGCACTTTTTATAGGACATTATATTATTTCTTCTTAAATAATAAAAGATAGTTTTGAAAGGGCTTACCAATATCATAACGCATGAAACTTATTTCATGATACAAAGAATTTGTGAAAACAAAGGCAGTATCTCTTTGTCACACCCTCATCAGGCATTATCCAGAGTGCCTGATCAGTTCAGATACAGAATAAATTATATAATTCTTAATACATTTCATATATAACTGTGATGAATGTTGAAATGTATTTAATCCAAAAAGTAATTCTTTACCATGATTTGAGGAGATTGTCAATATTTGATAATTGAGCAAGAGCTAGTGTTTATTGGTTATTTACATATTCAAGATTTGGTTATAATTATGTTGAAAATGAGCTTCATATTTACTTGACAGTGATTTTGCTGGCTTCAGGATATTTTCATCTGGGTTTTTTAAACTTCGATAGGACTTTACCAAATTATAGAACAACTTTATGACATTATAGATGACATCCCTGTTTGTGTGTATTTGTATTATTTAAGGAAAAGTAATTTTCACACTAGTATTTGTGAAGCATTCTTGGGATGTTTAAATTATATAAATATCTAATGAATTACAGGTGTCCAGCTACCTGATACTTGCATTTAAATGTATGTTATTTCATGCATATGTAATACTTCTCACTTCACATGTGATTTGTAAAAATAAATATTATTTAGTGTTATGTCCTATAGGCATGTGGTTTCTGGTGCAATGAAAAAAATATTTCTTCTTATCAGTAACAATCATGATGTCAACAGGTAATTTTGTTGATTAAAGCTGTGAACTTATGTGTTATTTAAGTCTTTGAATGGCATTTAGAAGTGATACACATAAGGAAGAGAACTGATGGATGGCAACTTCTTTATTATGAGGAAAACCACCTATTATTATGAGGAACACAAGGTGGTGTTCCTCATAATAAAGAAGTTAACATCCATTAATTCTCTTCCTTATGAGATATTTGTTTTACTTAATTTACATGTTGTTAACAGTAGTAATTCTTGGATTCATGACAATTCTTTTGAATAAAAGATCATAGATGAATTTTGATTTGTGTTATTTATTTTATCAATGCAAATAAATTTATTTTGCCACCACAGGTTATGGAACATGGTTCAGATTGTTTAGCCATAACCATGGCAATTACAGGTGCTCATTTTATCTAGGATCCTCTCAATGTTATTAACTGTTGTCACATACATGTACCTAAATACTGGCAGTTCATTAAGTCAAATATTCTGGAAGTGTGACCAGGGATTTGTATCTAAATTTAGAATTCCAAACTAAGTGACCTTGGCAAACAGATTGGGAAAAAAACATAACTTATGGGCAATCTAACTGTTGACAATCTATTTATAGATATCCACATGATTTGCAACTTGTGCTTGTGTTTACAGTTTCCAATACTTTGCACGATGGAAAGTAAAAACAAAATATAGTTACCCCGCCCTCGGATGAATAATATATTATTGACATGCTATTTATTGACAATATGACATACTCTACCTGACATGAGTGCTTCGAAGTAGTGAACGCTTCTAACTTTCAGCCATGGTGACTTCCTCATTGACCGATATACCTTTACATCGGACATATGACTCATTCTCCCTCCCGATATACAATTTGACAACTAAAATATAACCCCAAACAGAATATTTATGACTGTCCTCTTTAGATATTTTTGACACACGACTGGTACTAAAATATTCTGAGCCAAATTCATCGCCTGCACGATCAAGTTTCGCCGGCTGTGACACCATAGCAAATAGCCAGTGGTTGCCCCCCCTGACGCCTAAAACAAGGATGGCAGCTTGTGGGCGGGGCTTAATGATCTGGACTGGATCGGTCTATTGTATGTCCCCCAAAAAGTTTTATATAATTCCTAGTTCACACAAATTTATCATGTTTATGTCTGGGAACAATTCGAATATTTTACAAAATATAGCAATGTTTATTTTCTCTGCTAATAAGTTGAGAAAAGAAATGTAAAAAATTGCATGTAGCACTGTTGCAGAATGTAATGGGCCAATGGGCTATACTTGATAGTATGATGAGATGAGACTTATTGTCAGAAGAGCTCAACTTAAACATTTTTGTAACAAATTTCAGTAAGACATAGTCTCAGTGAAACAGAGAATTTAGTGGGGCACGTCAATGAAAGAGGGATTTTCTTCTGGCAGTATTTGAAAGTAAGAATGAAGTAAAGGACTCCTGTCTTAACCTTAATGTTGAATGTTTAAGATTTAGGGGCCCCAAGAATTAAAAACTATTGCAGCACACCACAAGGATCCCAGAGTCATTTTTGCATTTATGTATAACACAACTGGTATGTAGAATTCAAATATGGATGGATAAATGTTTGAAGATTTTGACCAAACATTTTTAGTACTATAGTTTGTACAGGGACCAAGTATCAATCAATCTTTATTCATGGTACTTATGAGGCCAAAGGCCTAGAGTACATTGTCTGGGGCGTGTTACAAATTCATACATTTTTTTAGTTTCATAGCATGATAAATGAACATTGATAAATTTCTAATAGTTTCTGTACAACCACAAGTCATTAATTTACAAAATTTGTTACCGTTTGGGTTGCTGTAGAAATAGTTATATAGATATTTTGCTCTTAAATCTTTCTACACTGGACATACACATAAAAAGTGATATTCATCTTCAATACAATCAGTTTTACAAATCCTACAAAGTCTATGTTTTCTTGCAATACCTTCATATCTGCCTGTTTCAATAAATAGATCATGTGAGCCACAACGAAACGAGAAAGAGCTGTTCTAAACTTATGTAAATTTACACTTAATAGATAAGGTTCTAGTATAATAGTAGTCTTAAATGTAGTGTAGTAATTCGCTTTTCTAGAACTGGACAAAGAACCATGCCATTTTTGGATGTACATATCTTTTAAGGTCTGTGTCAAACGGGAAAAGAAATGCTGTGGCATATCTACATGTTGCTGTAACCAAATATAACACCAATGGTTATATTTGGGACCAAGTAATTATTTGCTGTTGTGGTGTTTTGTAAATTTGAAATATTGCATTTCTTCGTTTCAGAGGTGCAACACATTCCAAAATGGTACTGATTCGGTCGGATGGAAAGGTTGCAGGCTGGAGTGAGGGTCCCTGTACAAATCAGTGGGTCAGGAAAAGCTTTAATCATCTTAACTCTAATGCTTTATCACCTTTAATACAAACTGTGTAACATGAAAGAAAAATGCAGTATTTACAGCTATAATTTGTCTATTTTGACCATTAATGTTTTCATCAGGTATTTTTTTTCTTGTATCTAACATGTATTAGTGAATTGTGCTTTTGTACCTTTTCTCTTTACAAAATAACTAACTGAGGAAGAATTAACTTAGCTGGCATAAATAGTGAAAACATAAGAAAGTTTACTAGACTCAGCCTTAGAATTAGTGGCAAAAGTTTTAGGCAATTTTGTGTAAGTAGCCCCAATATTTTGGGTAGGGTACAGACTTGAACATGACATTATCTGTTTCTTTGACAGCTCATTGGCCTAGAAGAGTGCCTGAAGAGGATCAGTGCGATGACAGTTGATGTCAAACAGAAGGCAGGAGTGGAAGCGTCCAAGCCACTCAAGGCTCTGGTCAGTGAGAGACGATGTCTTGAACGTACAATGTCCACTGTTTACAAACCCCATTAGAAAGATGGTCTACTACATGCAGTGACAATGCTTCTGCTGATTTCCTGATTTGAATAGCAGTTTATACAACTAATTACCAGAAGCTACTTTTTTGTGTGTAACAGATCCAGAGCTACAGATAAGCAGCGTATCTGCGTAAAATACCCCCCAAGATATTCAAAACCCAATTACTTTCAATTAACTTGCGTACAGAAACGCATGCATTAAATGAAAAACTCAAATGTATAAAAACAGCTTGCATAAATACCCAATGAAGCTTTTTCAGCATGGAGCATTTTTCACAAATAAAAGGAGCTAATTTCCGAAACACAATTACGAGCTAATCTACTTTCCGAGTCAAGCCTATATATTTAGAACAGTTACATACATCTAAAACATAATTTCATTTTTTTTTAACCTTGAAATGTTCACAAGTTTTGGGAAAAATAGAGTGATGAATAGATGAGTGAAAAAATGTTGGTTACCCAATGAAAAATGTAATAACCCAATTACAATAGAAACTCTCGAGTTAAATCTCAATTGCTCAAAAAGTTATCTGCAGCTCTGAAGATCAAAATGCATTTATGAATTATCATTTTTAATTTGCCATTTTCTTTTAATGTTTTTTATTTCTCTGTCAAGGATCAGATATATATCATTACAAACTATTGGTATTCCTACAACATGATTACATGGTAAAATGTACATGCAAAACTGTGATCTACTATTAACATGATTGTTGCCTTGTTAACATTTCATGTCATTAAGCTAAGGTAACATTTGAAGTATGATTTTTGTCAAGGTCCTATTCCTTTGTCCAGATTAACAAATCAAGGGTACAGGGTAATGTTCCTTTGAATGTATATAGAGATGTTCCCAAAAAGATGGTCCAGAAGGTGAGTTTCTGGACTGGCAGGGTCCTGGCTAACAAGGTTGCACTATACAATAGATATCCAAATAATGTTAGGACGACATTTGTGATTCAGTAAGATGGCAATAAAAGTAACAACTGAGAGATTTAGTGGGTAATCAGAATTATCATGTTTATATTTTTCTCTCCAGGGAATGTCGTTGAGTGGGGGGGATGAGACCGAGAGCCAGCGGCAGCTAAAGGAGGGGATAAAGACTGGCTACGTTGATCTGACAAGCCACACATACGTGGCCGGTGACACCTTTGGAGCCCTTGCTACTGCGTTATCTAATGGTATGTTGTCCATTGCTGGAAGTGGGGTAAAGTTGTCTGACAAGCCACACATAGATTGCCGGTGACATCTTTGGAGCCCTTGCTACTGCGTTATCTAATGGTATGTTGTCCATTGCAGTAAGTGGGGTAAAGTTGTCTGACAAGCCACACATACGTGGCCGGTGACACCTTTGGAGCCCTTGCTACTGCGTTATCTAATGGTATGTTGTCCATTGCTGGAAGAGGGGTAAAGTTGTCTGACAAGCCACACATAGATTGCCGGTGACATCTTTGGAGCCCTTGCTACTGCGTTATCTAATGGTATGTTGTCCATTGCAGTAAGTGGGGTAAAGTTGTCTGACAAGCCACACATATGTTGCCGGTGACACCTTTGGAGCCCTTGCTACTGCGTTATCTAATGGTATGTTGTCCATTGCTGGAAGAGGGGTAAAGTGGTCTGACAAGCCACACATAGATTGCCGGTGACATCTTTGGAGCCCTTGCTACTGCGTTATCTAATGGTATGTTGTCCATTGCAGTAAGTGGGGTAAAGTTGTCTGACAAGCCACACATATGTTGCCGGTGACACCTTTGGAGCCCTTGCTACTGCGTTATCTAATGGTATGTTGTCCATTGCAGTAAGTGGGGTAAAGTTGTCTGACAAGCCACACATATGTTGCCGGTGACACCTTTGGAGCCCTTGCTACTGCGTTATCTAATGGTATGTTGTCCATTGCTGGAAGTGGGGTAAAGTGGTCTGACAAGCCACACATATGTTGCCGGTGACACCTTTGGAGCCCTTGCTACTGCGTTATCTAATGGTATGTTGTCCATTGCTGGAAGTGGGGTAAAGTGGTCTGACAAGCCACACATAGATTGCCGGTGACATCTTTTATGCTACTGTTTGTTTGTTTGTTTGTTTGTTTGTTTAACACTGCACTCAGCAATGTTCCAGCTATATGATGGCGGCCTGTAAAAATCCATTCTGGACAATCCGGTGATTCACATCATGAACATTGATCCACAAAATTGGGATACAATGACATGCATCATACAAGTCAGCGAGCCTGACCACCCAATCCCGTTGGTTGCATCTTACGACAAGCATGGTTTGCTGAAGACCTATTCTACCCCGGATATTCACAGGTGTACTGCGTTATCTAATGATATGTTGTCCATTGTAGGGAAGAGGGATAAAGTGGTCTGACAAGCTAACACCATTGGAGTCCTTGCTGTGGTGTTATCTAATCTATGAAACCCCTCATTCTGTACTTTTGACTTGAGGGTTATGACAAGAACACCTTGACTCTCATACTTAATTCTGGACACTGTTAATGTATTGGGAAACTAGCAAGATACTATTTTGACTATACATGTTTAACCAGTGATTAGATACAATAAGATCATAAAATTGTTGTTAAGAGTTATTTCCCTTGATATATTAGCTGGCTTGTAGAATTTCCCTTGGCAGGATCTGTCATAGAAAATATAATAATAACAACATCTTCACTACTTCCAGGTGGAATTGTTCTCATTGCTGGCACTGGCTCCAACTGTCAGCTGATCAACCCAGACAACTCCGCCTTTCGGTGCGGAGGATGGGGTCACCTCATCGGTGACGAGTCTTCAGGTAATGTCACACGCTTTGGTCAAAGATATACTTAATGCAGTGGCAGATTGAGACATTTTAGCTGTATGCCTGCATTTGGTTTTGTCATTAGTTCAAAACATGCAAGTACTGAAAAGAGCAAAGTCCATTTGTCATTTATGTGAACACATCAAAATACTTCTACAACAATTTCAACAATGTTCAGAGATTTATTTTCAATTCTTAATTAAGCACATCTTATGGCCAAAAAGTGCCTTTGTGGAACATTGCATCATCTTTTAAGAGAACTGGAATATTAAAGAATATTTTTTCCATGATGCATGGCACTAATCAACTTGTGCATGTGCCATATTAATAGGAGACTATAATTCCTGTTGTATATCATAGTGTGAATGAATGTGGGTCACCCACTGTCCTGAATGAAAGAAGCATGCACTGTCATAAGGGCAGTGTTCCCGCTGGCTTTTGAAACTGCCAGTCCTGGTGGACTGGCAACTCTAAACATTACCAGTCCCCGCTAATTTTCGCCAGTCCCATCTTTCAACAACAACAAAAATGCATTAAAATTTCCTGGATTTAATTCTTTCAACATCATGTTCAATGCAATGACATGATCTCTAAAGTAACTTCGTTAGATCTACATGTCATTCACACAAACTTCAGTCACAAGTTTTTCTTCTTTTTAAAAAAAAATAATATTTTGTGACTAAGTTGCTACATATTTAACCTCGAAGCAAAACAAAATGTTATTTCCTTGCTCTACAAATGGACAAGGGGAAACTCTGATGGTAACAGACAAGCTGACTTCTGTGGCAAAATATACTGATATGGATATCGCCGATATGTTTTGTTCAACAACAAAGATGTATAAGGTACTTTATTTGCTGGTCCACAGGGACTGGCAGTCACATGAATTACCGGTCCATGCCTAATTTTACCGTTAAACGGGGACACTGAAATGTGCTCCTCTTTTAACAAGTCAAGCTTGATTTGAGGCTTTATGTGTATCGTCTTTATGCCATGGTATTTCTTCACAATATTCTATAACCAGTTCAAAATGCTGCCTCAAATCTTACTTTGGTAGATGAATGTGTAACCTTCAAGTATTGCATTGATCCGCATATATGGGAACTATTAAAGTAGATGGAATGTGCTTCGTGATCAAAAACTTATATTTTGGGATCTTGCTCGTTTTCTTTCAGCTTACTGGATTTCACATAAAGCTTTGAAGACGTATTTTGATAAGGAAGATAATTTGGTGGATTGTCCTTATGATACAGCAGCAGTGAAAGACATCATGTGTTCTTACTTTGAAGTAGGTCTTTACTAATGTGTTCATTCTTTGAAGTAACTAGTAAGTCTTTACTAATGTGTTCTTTCTTTGAAGTAACTAGTAAGTCTTTACTAATGTGTTCTTTCTTTGAAGTAACTAGTAAGTCTTTGCTAATGTTTTCTTACTTTGAAGTAAGTCTTTACTAATGTTTTCTTACTTTGAAGTAACTAGTAAGTCTTTGCTAATGTTTTCTTATTTTGAATTAAGTCTTGACTGAAATGTTTGTATTTTGAAATAAATATTTACTGATGTATTTTTCCTTTGAAGTAAGTTTTTGCTGATGGAGGTCAATTATAGGTAAACCCCATCAAAGATTTAGCATTAGAAAGGACTAGTAGAAATTTGCCATTTTAAGGGTTTAGCTATATGTTAATATTATAAGGACTAGTGGACTAAAACTGTTAGTTTTTACTGGTGCAAAAAGGAACCCCTATTTAACATTGATATACTATAGTCATATGTAACATGACACCTACATAAGAATATAAGGTTAGCAAGGTTAGGTTATTTCTTGACCAGTGAGTGAGTTGGGTTTTTAACATCGCTTCAAACATTATTCTAGTTATATCACGCATGTCAGGTCAATTTTTATGGGTTAAGCTATATGTTATCATTATAAGGACTAGTGGACTAAAAATGTTAGTTTCTACCGCTGAAGATATATGATAGCGTCAATGAAATCCTTCATAAATTTTGAAAGAGGATTTATTTGGAATAAGTTTGGATTGAAAATATGCTCGTTTTATTCATGTTCTGCATTCTGTTTCTTGCTCTTTCTCCTCAGATAAAGGACAGACCAGAACTCCTCAATTTTTTATATGCTAAGTTTGAGAAGGCCAAGATAGCTGGAATGTGTAAAGAATTAGCAAAATGTGAGTATGGATGATTAAGCTATTGGAGTTTAGTTGTTGTTCAGGAAATCACTCTGAAAAAATTATGCTCATGTGATCTCATTATTTTATTATGTGAGAAAGAACTGCATATACACATACAATACTAGCATTGGGATAACAAGGTACAATACTGGATATGGAATAACAAAGTACAACACTGGCCCCATATAATACCCCATATAATACTAGCTATAGGATAACCATGTACAGTACTGGCTATGGGATAACCATATGCAACCCTGGCTATGGAATGTCCACATGCAATACTGGCTTTGGGATAACAAGATACAATACTGGCTATGGGAAATCATCTACAACACTGGCTGTGGGATAACCACATACAAAACTGCCTATGGGAAATCATGTACAATACTAGCTGTGGGATAACCACATACAATACTGCCTATGGGAAATCATGTACAATACTAGCTGTGGGATAACCACATACAAAACTGCCTATGGGAAATCATGTACAATACTAGCTGTGGGATAACCACATACAATACTGCCTATGGGAAATCATGTACAATACTAGCTGTGGGATAACCACATACAATACTGCCTATGGGAAATCATGTACAATACTAGCTGTGGGATAACCACATACAATACTGCCTATGGGAAATCATGTACAATACTAGCTGTGGGATAACAATGTACAGTACAGGCTCTGGGATAACAATCTACAGTACAAGCTGTGGGATAACAATGTACAGTACAGGCTGTGGGATAACAATGTACAGTACAGGCTATTGGATAACAATGTACAGTACTGGCTGTGGGATAACAATGTACAGTACTGGCTGTGGGATAACAATGTACAGTACAGGCTGTGGGATAACAATGTACAGTACAGGCTGTGGGATAACAATGTACAGTACAGGCTGTGGGATAACAATGTACAGTACTGGCTGTGGGATAACAATGTACAGTACAGGCTGTGGGATAACAATGTACAGTACAGGCTGTGGGATAACAATGTACAGTACTGGCTGTGGGATAACAATGTACAGTACAGGCTGTGGGATAACAATGTACAGTACAGGCTGTGGGATAACAATGTACAGTACAGGCTGTGGGATAACAATGTACAGTACTGGCTGTGGGATAACAATGTACAGTACAGGCTGTGGGATAACAATGTACAGTACAGGCTGTGGGATAACAATGTACAGTACTGGCTGTGGGATAACAATGTACAGTACAGGCTGTGGGATAACAATGTACAGTACAGGCTGTGGGATAACAATGTACAGTACTGGCTGTGGGATAACAATGTACAGTACAGGCTGTGGGATAACAATGTACAGTACAGGCTGTGGGATAACAATGTACAGTACTGGCTGTGGGATAACAATGTACAGTACAGGCTGTGGGATAACAATGTACAGTACAGGCTGTGGGATAACAATGTACAGTACTGGCTGTGGGATAACAATGTACAGTACAGGCTGTGGGATAACAATGTACAGTACAGGCTGTGGGATAACAATGTACAGTACTGGCTATGAATCAACCAACAGGCTGCTTATGTGGGCACTGATGCAAGGTGTATAGGCCAGTGGTGTGGCTATTTGAACATGTTGAAGACACTGTGTTTGCAGGTGCCATGGAAACAAAGGATCCTCTGTGCCTGCATATATTTGAGGAGGCAGGGAAGCTTCTAGCTCGACACGTAATTGCCCTCGGACCAAAGATGGACAAGGTTAGCTTCAAATTTATTTTTGTTCCCCCGACCCAAGCTAATTGGTAAATATACTGTAAATAAAAGGGACCTTACTTGTAAACTTACATTTATGCAGAAATTAAAAGGGTACTGATTTAAGAATTGTGTTTTGTCATAAAACCATGGGCCCAGTTTCACATTGTTATCTTGGTACTACAACTGTCCCAGAGTTATATTAAGGATGTAATGATATATCAAACTAGCAATGTATTTCAATTGTGTGTGTCATGATTGTACTTTGTCGATGGGAATATGAAAACATCTGATGGAATTGTCCTTACTATGCTTAATATTTTGTTGAAGTTGTTACTGCTCAGCATTAAGACTTAATATTGGAGCATGTTGATAAGCTGTTGTTCTGAAAAAGGTACTGGAGAGCTCAACGACTATTTGTTGTTGTTCAACATGTCCATGTTGTATGTTCCAATATATCCATCATTTGTATTGAAACAAAACAAGAAATAAATACTTTATTAATTTCTGTTACATTGATGATTATACTTATCAAGCCTTAAAGTTGTTTTAAGACTATCTCAATACAGTTGCAATAGTGTGGGATGCTATCACAATAATGAAAATAGCCCAAATAGCAGCATTAGAAATTGGCACTAGTCCTGTAGTTCTTGCCAAAATGACCACTAGTTAACGTATCATAAGGACTAGTAGAAATTTGCCCTTTTTAAAGGGTTTTGCTATATTTTATCATTATAAGGACTAGTGGACTAAAACTGTTGGTTTCTACCACTGCAAATAGTCACCCCTAATTAACATTGATATACTATAGTCATATGTAACATGACACCTACATAAGAATATAAGGTTAGCAAGATTAGATTATTTCTTGACAAGTGATTTGGGTTTTTAATGTCGCTTTAAACATTATTCTAGTTATATCACAGCATGTTAGTTCAATGTTGGAGGAAAGACCGAAGTGAAACCACGTTTTACTACTTTGTTGAAACCCACGGGTATGATGCTGACGAACCTGTAAAACATAATTGGGGTGAAGCAAGATTCAAACAATTTTTTAGAAAGAAGCCAAATCTTGCAGATACATCAGCATTGTTAAGTTCTAGTGCAGGAATTCTGCACATGTGATGCACCTGTGTAAATAAACACCATCTTCACACCCTAAGCATGATCTTTAATAACACAGCTACAAGTTTCTCCAGCATAATCATTGTATGGATTTATAAGTGATGAGTACCGGTGTAAGCAAGGATTATATCCTACCTAAATATTATCCAAGGGGAAGTTTTACTCTAGAGTATAGTATAGGATTAAACACACTGGTATGGGTTCAAATTCACTTGGGAGAATCATCCTGACATCCCGTTACAAAAACATTCTTTGCTTAGATCAGATAATGTATGTTAAAGTTGAATCAGGAGATGCCAATCAGTGTGTTAAACATAGATGCACATATTCAAATATTCTATAATAAAACATGTTTGTGATCAGATGAATAATTCTTTCAGTTATTTCATTAGATAGCCAAAGGGGGTTATAAATGTGCCCACTTCGTCTATGATCGCATGTGACATTCTCTCTGCAGAAAATCCTGGAAGGGGACGGAGGACTCCATGTTGTGTGTGTGGGGTCGGTGTGGAAGAGCTGGCCGCTGCTGGAGCCAGGTAAACAGTTCATCCCTGAACCCAGTGTTGGGTGGCTGTGACACATGTCTTGAAAATGTTGGGACCATAATGATGGTCAGGTTTCTTTGGTACTTGAATGTGTCAAGTATCTATCGTACGTGGTTGTGTCTTTTATCACTGGAACTTGGTTGTGTTGATTGTCACGTGTACTTGGTTGTATCAAATATAACAGGTACTTGTTGTGTCAAATATAACAGGTACTTGGTTGTGTCAGATATCACAGGTACTTGGTTGTGTCAAATATCACAGGTTCTTGATTGTGTCAAACATCACTGGAAATTGGTTGTGTCTAGTATCACAGGAACTTGATTGTGTCACATGTCTCAGGTACTTGGTTGTGTCACATGTCTCAGGTACTTGGTTGTGTCAAATATCACAGGTACTTGGTTGTGTCAAATGTCTCAGGTACTTGGTTGTGTCAGATATCACAGGTACTTGGTTGTGTCAAATGTCTCAGGTACTTGGTTGTGTCAGATATCACAGGTACTTGGTTGTGTCAAATATCACAGGTTCTTGGTTGTGTCAAATATCACTGGAAATTGGTTGTGTCTAGTATCACAGGACCTTGGTTGTGTTGATTGTCACATGTACCTGGTTGTATCAAATATAACAGGTAATTGGTTGGGTCTAGTATCACAGGAACCTGGTTGTGTCACATGTCTCAGGTACTTGGTTGTGTCACATGTCTCAGGTACTTGGTTGTGTCAAATATCCCAGGTACTTGGTTGTGTCAAATATCACAGGTTCTTGGTTGTGTCAAATATCACAGGTACTTGTTTGTGTCAAATATCACTTGTACTTGGTTGTGTAAAATGTCACAGGAACTTGGTTGTGCCAAATATCACAGGTACATGGTTGTGTTGAGTGCCACAGGTACTTGGTTTTGTCACATAACACAGGTTCTTGGTTGTGTCAAATATCACTGGTACTTGGTTGTGTCACATAAGGAAAAAACAGACTACTCCTTCCTCCATAGAAAGTTTACCAATAAAAAATAGAAAGTGTATTGAAACTTGTATATGTTACAGGGAACATGTCAAAACAGGGAATGATCAAATGAGGGAATATGTATAATACCTGAAATATTCAGGGATATATATATATGTAATGTCTGATTCACACAGGAATATACATAATCCCTAAGAGTTTCAGGTATTGTACATATTCCCTGATTTAACAACAAGTTTGTTAGACATATTCACTGAAACTGCTTCATTCATGGTTGTTAGAAGAATTATTCAATATAACATTGTTAACAAGTTTATTAAGAAGAAAAGATATATTTGACAAATGATAATATATATGAGTCAATTTCACAAAGAGTGTAATTTTTAAAGGCAGAAAAAATATCTTTTTGGGTAATGATAATTGTTTTATTGACATGTAAACTGTATTTGATGAATCGACAAAAATACAATCTTTGTCTTAATTAAGAACGGTTTTAATTGGGGTTGAATAACAAATTAGATCGAAAATGTCCATACTGTTACCAAAATGAAATTGTCAAATTATTAAAGACCAGTATAAAATTAAGTTCTATGTGGTGGACATAGATACAAAAATGTCTGTTTTGATATTTCTATCTTAAAATGTCAAATGTTTGAGATAAAATATCCATTGAAAAACTTTAAATGTGTGTGTAGTCAATAAAAAGGCAAAAGTCGATATACAATAACTATGTCAGTGCTAAGAAACTACACTTACATTGTGCAGCTTGCTATAACCTTTCTTATAAAATACAAGGGGGCACGGGTGGCCCAGTCGTCTAAGGCGCCGCGATTCGCTGTGCAGAGTCGCGTCCCTTGGGCACGCCAGAAACCTATGATTGTGGGTTCGAATCCCGGTTCGCCCCAATTATGTTTCTAGGTTTGTCAGCACCATACCCGTGCTCGTGGGTTTCACCGAAGTGGTAAACGTCTGAGACCTGCATCACTTCGGGCTTTCCTCCCACATTAAGCTGACACGCCGTGATATAACTGGAATACTGTTAAAAGCGGCGTTAAACACAACTCACTCACTCACTATAAAATACAAACATTTGAAGTTACTAGAAGATATACATTTGCATAGTATTCTATATTTTGTAGGATATTTGTCAAGTAACAGTTATGGACATCTGGAATAACAGTATGGACAAAAACCGTAATAGGGAATATGTCTAACAAACTTGTTGTTAAATCAGGCAATGTGTATAATCCTTGAAACTTTGAGGGATTATGTATATTCCCATTGTGAATCTGTCATTACATATATTCCCTGATTTGACATATTCCCTGTACCATATACATTATGACTTTTAAGTTAATGATTTGTATCTTGTCAAGGATGCAACCTGTTGGGTGTCATGTTACTTTCAGGTTTTGTTGCGGTGATGTCGGAGGGCGGCCCGAAGTTGGGCATCTCGGAGGTGACTTTGATGGAACTGCTGGTATCCGGGGCGGTGGGCGCAGCCTCCCTAGCTGCCAGAGACATCGACTTTGATCTGCCTATTGACTACAAAGCTAACGCCAAGATCTTCTTCAATAAGAAACTGGCATGATGACTGATATCTGCTTGAGACTCTGCTTCTCTTGCTTTGGGGATTGGATAAAGATTTTTGAAGGCCTTATGTGAAGGGAGTAACAATATTTCATTCAGTGTGCTACAGAAGTAACTTAATTGTTTGCTTTTTAGGTAGAATTTTTTAAGCATGTGGGATGATATTGCAGGTGTATGACCTTGGTCCAGCAATAAAGAAATCATTTTTAGACTGATAGTGATGATTCATAAAGTTCACGAACTTTATGTTTATTTCCTGGTTTATTGGTTTCTAGTAGGGAAAATAGTTTAAAATTCACAAGAAAGCCAATAGAATATTGGAAAATTTCAATCACATTTCTCTTAAAACTGAAGCACATTGCAACTGCCTACTTTTAACTGACCAATCATTGCCATTGTATAGTGCTATATAGTCTCTTGTTACTTTGGTGGATGCGCCTTACTAAATTAGGAGGTGATCTATTTGTACTAGGACCAAATTAGGAGGTGATCTATTTGTACTAGGACCAAATTAGGTGATCTATTTGTACTAGGACCAAATTAGGAGGTGATCTTTTTGTACTAGGACCAAATTAGGAGGTGATCTATTTGTACTAGGACCAAATTAGGTGATCTATTTATACTAGGACCAAATTAGGAGGTGATCTATTTGTACTAGGACCAAATTAGGAGGTGATCTATTTGTACTAGGACCAAATAAGGAGGTGATCTATTTGTACAGGGACCAAATTAGGAGGTGATCTATTTGTAAAGGGACCAAATTTGGAAGTGTTCTATTTGTACAAGGACAAAATTAGGAAGTGTTCTATTTGTAAAGGGACCAAATTAGGAGGTGATCTATTTGTACAGGGACCAATTTAGGAGGTGATATATTTGCACAAGGACCAATTTAGGAGGTGATTTATTTGTGCAAGGACCAAATTAGGTGATCTATTTGTAAAGGGACCAAATTAGGAAGTGTTCTATTTGTAAAGGGACAAAATTAGGAGGTGATCTATTTGTACAAGGACCAAATTAGGAGGTATTCTATTTGTACAGGGACCAAATTAGGAAGTGTTCTATTTGTACAAGGACCAAATTAGCTCCTTTGGCCCATAGCCAACCGAAACAGGACAGGGACTGCTATTGTTGGAAGTTGGTTGGTTAAGTACTTAAGCACAGTTGGAAACACTGTGAACACATTTCAACACTTAACTTTTCACCTGATCAATTTTGGTTGTGGTTTTCACCAATGGTCACAGCTGCAGAAGATCAACAAGCACAGATGTTCTGCATATTGCCCCTGTGGCTCATGATTTTATTGGAAGCTTTACATATTTTTTTACAACTGTCCCTTTGTGTCATGATAGTTATATATTATGAATGATAAGTGATATTCTTTTGTATTAAACATGCTTCATTTCAGTTGAATTTCATGTGTTTTTCATATCAACTGAATTTCAAATCAGAAATTTCATGTTGAAAGATCAATGTATAATTACATTAAATTTATATTATTTTATTCTTAGGAGGGCTTCATTGATAAGTTACATAATTATTTGCTTAGATTTGAGATTTACAAGGCAGCTAAATATTTGTCGTGGACAGTACCTGATGAACAAATGTCTGTATTAAAAACTTGGTGAGTTTTTTGTAGTGTTGCATAAACAGGATATGTTTTATGTATTGAGCTTGTAAAATCATGAGCACTTTTCTATATTTATGGTTGAAGGATTTATCATTTAAAGAAGAAATAAACAAGATAAAATCTTTTGTTTTTATTGCATCATTTTGTTAGTAACATTAGAATGGGGGATGAATAGTTCAGTAAGAAAATGTTTCACAAAATCAACATCCATGACTGGTACACCTTCGTATGAAAGTGATTTACCGCTTCATGTCCTTGTTGACACGAATACGTCTTTCATCTTTTAACACCCCCCCCCCCCCCTAACAATTGCCTATGTTTTTGTGTCAGGGATGAAATCGAGAATGTTTTCCTTATCTGATCGACTAGGTATTCTTGGTGAAGCTATTATATGAGATAAGAACAGCGCTCTGGTCAGATATCGCATTTTCATTACAAAGGGTCACAACTCGTGATCTACGAAGGTTGCGCCAGGGTCGAGCCAAGAAAAGTGGGCTTGATGTGGCAAGTTTAGAAACTAGTGGACATGCCTGCCTTGGGAAGGTGATGACCATTGTGATCCATTTGAAACCGATAATTCTGTTGACACTGGAATCTTATGTTTTAAGTCTGAATATTGAAAAAAAAATGAACTAACCATGACTATCCTCCATTGTCTCCATTTTATTATGATAAATATCTGGCCACCTTCACCGCCAAAGCTTTCCTTTGGAAGTGATGTTGCCATCTCCATCTTTATGATCATGCTTATTATTAACTTTGCAAGGAATGTTTTAAGTTTATGAGCTTAAATGAAACCCAATCAAATGAAAAATGACTCTTCTGAATAAAACCCTTGCATAGATCTACATTTAAAATTGCGGTATCCAGTGTGTAAGCCTTTTATAGATTTAGCGAAAGACCATTTGATATTGTTTATATGGGGTCTTGGATATTTCAACTGCATCTGCAAAATCAGATATGTTTTATTGAAAGTAAGCCGAAAAAATTCTTTTTAGAAAAACAAACATCTTGAAACAATGTATTTTCTGAGGCAGACAATTGTTTTGGTCAGACCCTTAATCAAATCAGAACACTGTAATGATTAAATTTTAGCCGGAAAAGATGTTCTTTAGAGTATTAAGACAATGGGAGAGACGTCCTGCAGTTATCAAACATTCCTAGCTTTGTTTGTGATTGCATACAATGAGTGGAGCATTGGTGACACTGCCACTTGTTTCAGTATTGACAGAAACAATTTCTTGGTGGATGGTTATTTGAAGTGTCGTCATTCGCACCTGGCTCAAACCGACTTCATCTATGGTTGAATAGAGCTCGCCATCCTTGAATAGAGCTTGCCATCCTTGAATACAGCTTACCATCCTTGAATACAGCTCACTATCCTTGAATACAGCTCATCATCCTTGAATAGAGCTCACCTCTTTGAATAAAGACCATTCTTCTTGAATTAAGAACACCCCATCTTTGAATAGAACTGCTATATTTATCATCATTTATACTCGTATCTGTCTCGTGGATGATGGAGCCCTCTGGATCCGCACAAAAAGCATTAAAATGGCCCAAAACCTACTTCAAAAATCTCTAAACAAAATACAGCAATGGGCTAACAAATGGGGCTTCTCCCTTAACTCGGAAAAAACTACAGGAATAGTATTTAAACACAAAAACATGAAACACGCCTCCCCAAAACTCCAGCTAAACAACAAACCAATCCAATTCCTAAAACAATCCAAATTCCTTAGGACTAATTTTCGAGGAACATCTTTCCTGGGACGCTCACATAAATAATCTAATAACTAAATGTAGCAAAGATCTAAATACGCTAAGATGCCTAACTGGCTCAAACTGGGGGGCCTCCAAAGACACCCTCCTCTCACTCTATATATCACTAATTAGATCTAAAATAGACTACGGATATGCCATATACTACACCCTAAACCATGTAAACCAAGGCCTAAGCAAAAAACTAGACTCAATCCAATATCAGGCTCTAAAACTAATATATGCACTCAACATGGCACCTCCTACACTTCACTCCAGGCCTTAACAGGAGAAATGCCACTAAATCTACGTAGGGAACAATTAACCCTAAATTTCTGGGCAGCGTCTCAATCCAACCCCCTAATCCAAAACCTAATAAACAAAAATATCAGCCGCAAAAACCAAGCTCTAGCTCAAAAACACCCGCAACTTACTCCAATATCCCAAAGAATAACCAATTACTTAAATGAACACCAAATAAACAATCTTAAACAAAACTGTGAAAAATCAAATATCTTCACCCCAAAACTTAAAACACCCAAAATAGACATAACACTAGCTAGCACATTAAATAAACAAAACCGACCCAAACATAGCAAAAACCACCACACTAGCATACATACATGAAAATTGGCCAAATTGGTGTCACATTTACACAGACGGATCCTCAGATCCGATCTCCAAACACACAGGTTTCGGAGTCCATATCACACAACCAACTAAAGCCACACAATCCTACCGACTCCCAAACAATCATCAATATTCACGGCCGAACTAATGGGCATGGCCTCAGCCCTTCATAATCAACAATCTAAAAAACAACAAAAAATCCTAATACTTACCGACTCGCTCAGTGGACTACAAGCCCTCCAAAATAAAAATACCAAAAAACGCCCTGAACTAATAAATCAAATACTAAAAAGCTCAAACGATTTAACTAAGGCAGGCAAACAAATAGTATTCATTTGGATCCCCGCCCACGTAGGAATATACGGCAATGAAAACGCCGATAAAGCAGCTAACCTATCCCTTAAAATCCGAGAAATAAGCTTAAACCTACCCATCTCCAAATCAGAAATTAAAAGTGTCAACAAACAAAAAATCACCAAAAAATGGCATAATCTATATCTAAACTCAAATAGCCAAATCCAAAAGGTTCTAAAAAAAACCCTAACCAAACCAAAAATTCTACATCCGTCCAAAAAATCGACAGAGTAATCACTAAACTCCAAACAGGACATACCAACCTAAATAACCACCTCAAAATAATAAAAAAACACGCAACAGAAACCTGCGCACATTGCAAACAACAAAAAACCCTAGAACACGCACTCATACACTGCACCATAAGGCTCTTACTCTAGAAGCAATCCTAAACCCACAAAATAAAATAGAAAAACTCAAAGCCTTAGGTGTATACTTAATCAAAACAGGACTAATAAATCGCATTTAAAACCCCAATAAACTACCAAAACCAAACCACATAATCAAACTAACAAACTTCCCTACTCAGCTCCCTTAGTTCGCCCCCCAAATCCTCGTGGCATTTTTTCCAAATCTCAAAATTTCAAAAATTCTATATACCGGTAAGCAACCACTAAAACACCCCTACTGGATTGCCAAACAACTTTTTCCCCTTTTCGGAAACACATTAAATGGCCTGGCCGGCCCATGTGCGAAATACGCTGCAGTCAGAAAGCGCACGTAAAATCTCCAATATAAGCAAGTAAGTAAGTAACTCGGATCTGTCGAACTGGATGTGTTTAATTCTGGGTTGTCTCAAACTCATTTGGGAGTCCAAAGTATCCAAAATTATAAAATTCCCCTGACTCACTGTTCAAATACAAAATAGCATCCACACACCCACACCTGCAAGATGTTTAACTTTCAACTCACTTCACACATAGCTATCTGACCTCACTGCAATCATGGACAGGATACTTTATGACAACAAACCTAAATTTAACACACTCACCTTACATCAATGGTGCAAGCTGATTACTATATACACATTGGCAACAAGTTACTTAAGTGTTCTCAAGTGACTGCCGGTGATTTATCTCATAGTTATCTAGTGTAAACTGATAAATGTTTTAAGCAGAGTGAGAAAGTATATTACATGTATATATAAACTCATAAATAACAAGGGTGGGTTTATGAAGAGCAATATTGGATTTATTTAGAGATACATCATATGTTTATTAAGGGCTATACCCGATTTTTTCAGAGATACATCATGTGTTTATGATATAAACATATTTATTTCCATAAAGTGGAGGGATTGGCAAACAAGCAAATTTTGCTTATCTGATTGCCTCTCCCAAACATGATACATATACAAATAGCAACGTATTGATCATGTGTTTATTAAGGGCTATACCAGATTTGTTCAGAGATACATCATGTGTTTATTAAGGGCTATACCAGATTTGTTCAGAGATATATCATGTGTTTATTAAGGGCTATACCAGATTTGTTCAGAGATACATCATGTGTTTATTAAGGGCTATACCAGATGTGTTCAGAGATACATCATGTGTTTATCAAGGGCTATACCAGATTTGTTCAGAGATACATCATGTGTTTATTAAGGGCTATACCAGATTTGTTCAGAGATACATCATGTGTTTATTAAGGGCTATACAAGATTTGTTCAGAGATACATCATGTGTTTATTAAGGGCTATACAAGATTTGTTCAGAGATACATCATGTGTTTATTAAGGGCTATACCAGATTTGTTCAGAGATACATCATGTGTTTATTAAGGGCTATACAAGATTTGTTCAGAGATACATCATGTGTTTATTAAGGGCTATACCAGATTTGTTCAGAGATACATCATGTGTTTATTAAGGGCTATACCAGATTTGTTCAGAGATACATCATGTGTTTATTAAGGGCTATACCAGATTTGTTCAGAGATACATCATGTGTTTATTAAGGGCTATACAAGATTTGTTCAGAGATACATCATGTGTTTATCAAGAGCTATATCGGATTTGTTCAGAGATACATCATGTGTTTATCAAGAGCTATATCGGATTTGTTCAGAGATACATCATGTGTTTATTAAGGGCTATACCAGATGTGTTCAGAGATACATCATGTGTTTATCAAGGGCTATACAAGATTTGTTCAGAGATACATCATGTGTTTATCAAGGGCTATACAAGATTTGTTCAGAGATACATCATGTGTTTATCAAGGGCTATATCAGATTTGTTCAGAGATACATCATGTGTTTATCAAGAGCTATATCGGATTTGTTCAGAGATACATCATGTGTTTATCAAGGGCTATATCAGATTTGTTCAGAGATACATCATGTGTTTATCAAGGGCTATAAAAGATTTGTTCAGAGA